GTTACCTCGACTTCGCGGTGTAGATTGACGTCACCGCTGATGATGGTTGCTGAACGAAGCTGCGTTTACGGACGTGGACCCACAACCGGTAGCGATATTGGACGGCGGTAATTGTTCAGTGACGGTGGTTTCATTACTCGAGTCTTCTGTTTGTCCAATAAATATACAGAAAAGTATTGAGTAAATTGAACGGATTAATTTCTACTTGTGTGCATATTTTACGCTCACCCGCGTCTGCTTCACTGTGGTAGAGTGACATATTTTTCTATACTGTCGTATTTAGCCTCTGTTTGGGCGACACTGACTAAACAGAAAATATGGCGGTCATAATATTGTCATATTCAAAAATATGAATGGGATATGATAATAATGGAAGGGAATGTTATAGGAGTATCGCAAAATAAGAACTATCCCTTTTCTCGAGGTGTGTTGTTCGAGGGTCACTTGCTATTTTAAATACATGCACAATAAATTAGGATGTTCTTACCTTAATCATATAATCCTTATTGATACAATAATTCACTCGTGGAACAATAAAGAAAGTATGAATTATAATAACCAATTTGTATAAAAAAAGTATCTTCGATTATTTTATTATTAAAAACACATAATACAATAATAGTAAAGGAAAAACAAACAAAACTAAAAAAAATACAAAATTGGTTTAAAAGGCGAAAGAGAGCCGGACGATGATCGCGACGTGATCGTAAGTCGGTTGGAACGGAACAGTACGAGGAGTATATGCCAAGGGATGTTCTTAATGTATTCCCCGGATCCCCTTCCACAGATGTGTATGATTATCGTCCAGCTCTTATTGGGTTTTACATTTTTATGATACGTTATGTTCAGGGTTTTTGTAAGTGTTTTGAAGGAGCGGATGTTTGTGGCGTGATCGTGAGAGTAGTGTTTTAGAGGATAGACCGTGTTTATTGTGTTTTATATGTTATGTGAAAAGATATTGTGTTGATTGTATTTTGTAATTTATTGGTGTGTGGGTAGAAGATGAAAGAATAACAGATAAACATTTTGTTCGGTTGTGTGAAGGGCCTATTACAACAATATATTCCGTTACAACTGGTTTAATATATCAATATTATGACATTAGATTAAGAAATAATGTATTTAAAGGTGATAAAATCTCAATGAGTTCGTGATTAGTACCATAGTCATGAAATAGGGTTTGAAATAGACACATTAAATTTTTACAGTTTAAATAATGAGTTTAAATTAAATTCAAAAACGCATTCGTCTAATAGTTATACAAATAGATTGTTCTCAATTTTGAAAAAAATTAAACATATATATTATTTTTGTATTCCGTAAACGTGATTCATCTACCAAAACCAATTCAATTACTTACAAATAAAAGTTACGTTAAGAATTTTTTTTTTTTTAGATTTATCAAATATTATGCTTAATAAAGGTTCTCTTAAATCAACTTTATCAATTAAAACGTGTATAACTTTTAAGACTACGTATTTTTTTAATGCTCCCCAGTATATATATCTTTTATTTAACATGTATAGTTTTTCTGAAAAATTGATGAAGCTAAGCCTCCAACACGCGTTAATGCTTATTAGCTCAATATCTGTTTTACAAAAATTAATTAATATAATTGTGTGTATTTTATTCATCGATTGTGTAACAAATGAATTCGTTTTTTACGCATTTTCCTAACCACGCATAAAAAAAGTATATAATTTATTTTACAAAATGTTTTTTAATTTCTTCTTCGTTTTACTATTTTTATTAATTTTAAAAGAAAATTTAACATTGATGAATTTGAACTCGAATTAGTTCATATTTTATTTAAGGAACATTGAATTTTGTGATAAGCACAAGTCAAATTAACATTATACATGTAATAACTTAAAAAATAAACTTGTTTGATATTTTAGCTGAGTGTGCTTCAGATGACACTCGAAATATTTCTCTCAATACAAAATTCTTATCAATATTAAATGTATTTTGATTTTACTTATTCTCTATAAACAAATAATAATATTTGTCATAAAAACATTCGAATATATGTTCATTTTTCCAACATCTGCAATATAATTTTATTTATTCAATTAGCATTTAACAGAAGTGCCCTGTTTAAAATTATAAAAATTATTTATAGCTTCTACGGTACAATATTTTAAACACATTGTGACATAACATTTGACACGGAGTCAATTAAGCCAATTCACATTACAAAGATAATAAATAATAAATTTTCCCTAGACCAGATGTCAGACTAGTAAATTACTTCTGGAAAAATATTAAATATTTAAAAAAGTCGTAAACTTATGTCGAAACAAACTTTAAAATTATCATAACGCATTTAACTGTTGACAGCACTAACAACATTTGTGAGAGTAATTGTAGTTTCCGAATAACACAAATATTTAGTTAGAAAGTATTGAGTTGAGAAATTAAAAAAAAATAGTAATATTCTATCTCTATTACAATTCATACAATTTCAACCCTTTACCGAATATTAAGTATTTTTTTTACTAATAGATAAACAAAGTTGTAAATATATGCAAGACAAAAATAAATAAAATTGATTAAACACCGCAAAAAGGACTTGGAATAAAATCAGCGGATACGCGTATCTCAAAAATTATGTTTTCATTATCAGCACCAAACAGATGCTCTAGTTTTTGAAATTCGCGTATCTACTAATTTTTTTTCTAAATACTTTTGGTGGTGATAAGTTAATTAAATTTATTTTTAATTAATTTGTCACAAGTAATCAATTATATTTTTTTAGTGATTATTAGAGTTCATATGAAAAATAACCGGTACTTTATAACTTCATCCGTAATAATGGATACTGTTTTTTATTATGTTATTAACATTCATTGATATTATACTAAAATAAAGTTTATAGAGTTAATTACAAATTTTTCTTATTTATTACAATAAATAAACCCCAGCACAATGGAGACTCGGCATAGTTGGGACAAGTATAAATAAAAAAAGACAGTGTTTAACACCACTATCATAAAACTTCCATGATAATCTGTTAATATTTTTGTTAAAATAGTGCATTTTAAAATCTAATACTCATAGAAAATCGAAACGATTTCCTTGTTTTAGTCATGATTTTTTTGTCAGATTCAATTGGAAAGATGAAATGATACTTTTGTCACCCATACTTTGACTAGGAAGAGGCAACTGTCCCTTAGTTAAAGTTTATTTTTAATTTAATTTCAATTATGTTCATTATTTTAAATTTGTAAAACGACTTTACACAAGTTTCATAATGACTTAAATATTGTCTATAGTTAAGAATAGTATTTATTTGTTTAAGGTAGGAAGCCAGTAAAAGTGTAAATAAAAGTGTAGTTGATTAAATACACAATCAATATACAGTATTATAAAAATGTAAATTTTCAAACATCGTCGTTTCTTGACGCATTAATATAACCCCACTATTATTTTTTATGATGTTTTTATGTAAAAGTAGTATAATAAATTAGTGTACGATAGTTTAAATTAATGATTGGCGTGTTAATCATAATTAGTAATTATAACTGAGTAGGACTTTGACGTTGTTAAACTAACAAAAAGTTGAATAATTCATAACAGGTAACTTGCATGTTAAACCAAGTGTTCATAACGATCATATCACGAATAAGGAAACCAATATGTCGTTACTAAAATTCTAAGGATAATATCATAATTAGTCAAATAAAATTCTTGACAGCTAATAATATAACTTTTATTTAACTTACTCGACCAAATCATTGGTAATCTACGAAGTATTTTGTATAACTTCAAAATAATGATACTTAACTGAGTTCTTATAATAACAAAATAATTTTTTTTTTATCTGAACAAACTGTATGCATCATATGTTAACAAGTGAACTACGCTTTCTAACTCTTGTACTTATAAAATCGCGTCTGCAACGATTTTCGAGAAAAGACAAGTAAGTTTAATACTATTTATATAATGAGAAATAGTAATTTTTTTTTTTCATAGTGAATAATTTGACTTAAATAAGGCAATAGTTTAATAACAAGTGGACTGCGCTTCAAATGAAATTAGTGTCCTCAATATAAATTGTACTTAGAGAATACTTAATATTTTATAGTTATAATGTCATAAATTATTTGATATGAATCGATAAGAAAGTTTAGTTTTCTAATTTATTATTTCTGCCTACATTTAAAACAAATCTAGCCCAAATAATATTAAAAATATTGATTACCGATTATTTGCCACACGTTATTTTTAAGATGCGTTTGTATTACGGGGGAATAATTAAGTGGAATGAAGAGGATAGATCCACCCAAGAGTAAACGTCTTTATATGGTGAAGATATCTATAATTTTTTTTCAATTAGCAAAATTAATAAATATTTTCTTATATATTCTTACTTCAAAACATAAACCCAATTACGCAATTATGTAAAAATAGCATCAAATATATTTTTAAAGTAAATCTTAAAAATAAAAAATGTAGTACTTAATTTAAAATTAAAACATCTACATGGATAAATTTTAAACATAAATGTTGCATGGAAGGAGTTAAGTGAAAGCGTCTACATTTTTAGGAATTTTTTTTTCAAAATTCTTAAAAATTTAAAAATATTTATTTTTAATTTATAATTTTTGCCAAATTATATTTGTTATAATCATAAGTTAAATAAGAAAAAAATGATAGAACATAAAACATAAGACTAAGGATATTAAAACAAGAATTAACAATATGACTTAACATTACAATTGTTTAAATAATGTATATTTACAATATTTATGTACAGTCTATAACTAAAATATCAAAATTTATAAAAATATTCGAATAGGATATATTAATTACAGAGAAAACAATTAAAAATGTCCCATTTTTAACACATAGTAACAAAAATACAATTTTTTAAAAGTCCTTATAAATACTATTAAAAAATCTTTCAATAGAAGAATTTTAATAAAAAAATATTTCACATTAACATTTATGATGAAAAATTACACAAAAATTGCATTGATTTTTAATATATAAAAATCTCAGAGTTACATTTACTGGTAAATATTCTATAGCAATTTGTCATTATTCATTTCTAAAAAGTTTACTAAAAATAAGTATTTTGTCATTTAATTGTTTAAGTCTCAACTATGGTATTAGATATAAATAAATATTATAATGCTTTGAAATAATTAAACTTGCATTATTTGTAGGTTTAAAATAAGATTAATTAAGAACTAATTATTTAATTACTTTAAACTGCTTATTTAGTCTCTTCGAAATCTTGGTCTTTATCATCTTGGTAAAATTCATTAGCTGGATCAACTTGTCTATCAAGTTCTGCTTGAGATTGTCGTACATCAGGATCAGCTTCTTCAATAGCTATAGCATTTGCTTCTTCAGTAGGAAGAGCATCACCAGGTACATCTTGAATTTGAACACTCGGTGAATGTTGAACCATTTTTAAATTATCATAGGTATGCTTAACAATAAGCTCCAAATATTGCTTGCTATTTGCATTTTCTTGACGAGTAACAACTTCTGGGTGGAGTAAAAAATCAGGTGCAAAGTAATCACGGTATTCATGTTCTGGAATTGTATTACTTATTTCTTCATCTATGAGTAGAGATGTTTCATAAGTCCAGCATCGGGCAACATTTCTTAATGTATAACTAAAACAATAAAATATGCTTTATCAAACTATATTTTGAATAATATTCAATAGACAAAAAATTAATATCTCTTTCATAAAAAATATTAATTTAATTTGTTTGAATTTGAGAATATATCCATCCTTTCTAGAGAAAATAGACAATTTAAAGATTAAATTTAATCAAATTTTTAGAAGAAAATTTTATGAGCAAAATATTTGTTACAAATATAAAATAAATGCATTTTAACACTTCCCTCACAAATTTTAAAACTTTTTTCCCTTTTTTTGTTATTATATTTATTCATTTATTTTATTAAAAAATCCATTTCAATATATCTTTTTTTTATCTAATATGAAGTTCACAAGTATGATGCAAATCAAGAATGTTCCGTGTCTTAATTTATTCTTATATTTTATAATATTCAATAATACTTAACAATCTTTATTTATTTTATTTAACATCATAATGTTAAAAGAGTATACCTTTATATAGGAGTTTTGTCACGTCAAACATAATATTAAAATAATATTTAAGTTAAGAAAATTTATAATTGTCATTTTTATTCAAGAGAAATTGAATAGTAAATATTTAAAGAAATACTCTGTATATATTACATACCCTCCACCTCCAACAGTTAATAATGGTACATTCAATTCTTTAATAAACTTAACACATTCACCATGTCCCTTGGTGCTTAAATTAAAACAACCTAATCTATCGCCATTAAGAGAATCAGCACCACATTGGAGAACTATTGCTGTAGGTTGATATAAATCCATAACATGTTGGATTACTGGTTTAAATACCTAAAAAAAGATATCAACTGTTAAACAATGTAAAATGTATATTAAAAACTTTTATTCTCTATTTTTGGTACAACAAAGTAATTTTAAAAATTATTATTATATAATTATAGAATTTATTCATATTAGTAATATCACATCAGAAATATTTGACAATAATATCTTTATCCATCATGAAAACAATAACATTGACTCTATCGGTAGGAAATTATTTTTTTATCTAAACTATAAGTGATAAAATATATTTTTAGTAATTAATAAAGTTATGTCAAAAAAAATTTTAGAATGGTTTTGATTACCACAGAATTAGAATTTATAAATTGTCTACAAACCTGAGAATAACTTGCATCATCAATTCCCTCTTTTAAAGGTACATTAACAGAATAATAACGCCCTAAATCAGCACCAATTTCATACATATCACCAGTACCAGGGAAAAACCAATTACCATATTTATGAAAGGATACTGTCATAACACGGTCTGTTAAATAAAATGCTTCTTGAACACCATCTCCATGATGTACATCAATATCAATATATAAAACTCTAGGATGATATTTCAATAATTCTAAAATAGCTATAACAATATCATTTACATAACAAAATCCTGATGCTTCAAACTTTTTTGCATGATGTAATCCTCCTGACCAATTAATTGCAATATCGCATACATTTTTATTAAGTTTCATAGCTCCATCTAATGAAGCACCAGTATACATTGAACAAAAATCATATAAACCTTCAAATACTGGACAATCTTCACCAACATTAAAATGGTTTAAATATTTACTGTAAGTAGTAAGATTTTGAGGTGTTACTCTTTGAAGAAATTCTATGTATTCATCATGATGGAAACGACACATATCATGAGCACTAGCACGATATGGTCTATAAATTTTCATTTTATTATACAGTCCATAATTAAGAACTAAACTATGTATAACTGATAATCGATGAGGTTTCATAGGATGAGCAGGCCCATAATGGAAATTACCCACATCTGGATTGTAGAAATAAAACACTCGTTTGTTCGACATGTTTAACTTACAACATATCAATCAATACAATCGAAATGATTTTTAAATTTAAATTATGGTAATAACTAGTAAACTAAATGATAACTTTAATAACTATTACACCTCAAAATGAGATTAGTCAAACAATTATTATATTTTAAAATTAATGGGAATAACGATATAAACATAATCTTGTAATCATAATATTGAAGTTAGAAGTCAAATACTTACTAATATGAAGTTCGGCACTAGACTAAATCAATATAGGTTCTCAAAATTTTATTGGACTTCGTCGATTATACAATCATTTTTATCATATATAAATCATTTTTTTGAGTCTACTTCACAATCTTGTATCGAAAATTTATTAAAAGTGATATATTTACATAAATATCTTATGAATATAAAATAAATAAATAAATGATATTTAAAACATGATAAATTAATTAACACGAATGTCTTTAAAGAACGTCGCGCCATCTAGGTTAATATTATTAAACAATTGCTAAATTTTCTACATTATGTACATTTTTAATGATTTTATGAAATTGTAAATTTTTACAGTTGTATTCTATATTAAAGGACATGTATTACAAATTTATAATAATACAATTATATTACATATTTTATAAAACAAATAGTAGGTCTTTTATGATTATAAATAATTGAGAAAAAATAAAGTCGAAGAATATTATTTATAAAAAAAATATTTTAAAATCGAATCCAAACAGTATTTATTTATAAATACGATTCAAAAAATTAACATTAAATGTTTTATGGATAAAGAGGAGTCTTTTCAACTTCATTAAATAGTAAATTTGAAAAACAACAAATCCAGGATATCATTCAACAATTTTTTTCCCGAATTGAATTGTAAAATGTGTAATAAAAATGGTGCTAATAGTATAAAATAATAATTTTGAATTACATAAAACTGGCCTTGATCAATTATAAAGTTTGAAATTATTTTTTTGAGTAACCAATTGAAAAACATTAGGGTTGAACTTTGAAAGTTTAGCTAAAAATTTATAATAGTAATAATAAAAATAAAAATAAAAATTATTATAGAATTATATATTTATCTTATTATAAAAGATCTTTTTTTTTTGTAAAATGCCGTTTGTATATTATTGTTTTGTATAATAATGCAAATGTATAGTATAATGCTATACAAATAGAATTATTAGTAGTATAGTATTTATATCACTGGCTAGGGTGAACACAAAAATGTAATGTTGCCTTGGAATAACATTCCAAAAAAAAACACGCTACTGCTATCAATTGTTATGCCACTGACTCGTTACACCTCTTGGCCGGGGCATTCAGTATTTTTTCCTTTATGGACACGACTTATATTTTAATTAAATAAAAATTAATGACAATACTCTTCTAATAAAAAAGAATAAATGTAAATTTATTAATTGTTAATCACAGTATTAAGTAAATTAATATATCAATATTACGATACAAATTATATAATATATAATTATATATATATATATTATATAGTTAATATGCAACCTGGTTATTTCATATATTCAGTTCTTAAGTCCTTCATATTGGTTGATCGGCTTAAGGACATCAAAAATTCTCCTGGTAACAAACCACGATCACGTTCACCAATAGGATGCAGTCTTCTGAAGTCTTAAAAAAAGCTTCCAAGTTGTTTGCCAGATGATATATATTTGTTTTTATTTATTTTTATTTTTCATCGTGGATAGATCTAGGTTTTCAGAAATAAAAAAAGAAGACCATCGAAATAATGTTTATTCAATATCGATATTTAGGTAGATTAAAAAAAAAATTATGTCTATCTAAAAAATTCAAACACCCCTAACATTTATGGAAAGGGCCTAAATCTAAAGTAATCTATAAAAGAAATAAAACAGTAATATTAAGACAAAACGTTTAATTTTAAACAAAACTTTTTATTACGACAAAAAACATTAAATAATAACATTATAAATATTTAAAAAATCTATTTAACCTGACAAAAAACAAACTAACACCCTAATATTAATATCATAACGTACAATGTAGGTAACATAAATAGTTATCATAATATATCTAGTTAAAATTTGGGTGACAATTGTTCAAATAGACAAATTTATATAGGTAGAATTTTATGCCATAATTACTTGGTAACTATATATTTTAAATAATAGAACTTTGTTTTGATTATCTTATGCATTCATATAATGTGACATAAATGTACAAATGATAACATCAAAATATATGCTAATATTATAAGCAATAAAACAATATTACAATAGACTTTTTATAAAAATATTGAATCATCTATCATCTATTTCATCTATTTCATCTGAATCATCTATTTCTGAAAGGAGTAAGTTTAGATAAAAGAAATTTTATAACATAACGGCGCCAAAGAGGAATAGTTGAAGATTCATCCCCGAAACACTGATTATAACTGTCAGTTATTATAGTTAATATATTTATTTCTGAATTAATTTGCTTGTTAAAACTCACTGAATACTAACTGGACTCTTAACCCCTCAATGTAAGAGTACACTATATATTTTAGGAATATAAAATATTTTATATTCCCAATTGATGATTAAAAGTTCTCAAAAAATGTTTTGTTTTTAATACTCAATTGCTATTGCGATTTATTAATTACATGAAAATTTTGAAATTGTACATATATTGTTTTTGAATTCATTTTTAAGGCATTTAGCATATTATGTTGACATAAACTACGAAATAATACATTTTTTAAATTTAAATTTTTATATTATTATATTTTAAAACCAATAATGATTCACAATTTTATAAGGTATAATACGTTATATACTTAGAACTTAGTTATATTATGTTATAACAAATTTAGCGAAGTTACAAATTATCTGAAAACATTATTAAGTAACAATAAAAATATATTATGTTTTATGAAATGTATTATTAAAAGTGAACCTGTTGATTCTTATCCTTTACTATGCATTAAAGTCTATGTAGATAAATTTACAGTGAATTGAATTAGTTTGTCATCTAATTCTTTGTTTTGACAATCTAAAACTTTGTTAAAACCCAGATCTTCATAACAAGATTTGTAAGCAAATTTACAGAAATCTTCAAAATATTTACACGCACTAAGATAAACTTGGATTGCCCTTTCAGGATTTGGATTATCTGATGTATGTGCTATTTCCCTGAACTCATTTACTTTATCGAATTTATAATAAAAAAATTCTTTGAAATTCATTGAACACCGCGTGTATATATTTTTGAAATCGCTCACTAAAATATCACTAATATCATTTAATAAATTTTGGAAATTTTCTAGAATACTTTCAACAACTTCAGTTTTTAATTTATCATGTTCATCGAAAAAATTATCTCGAGACAATTTATTGTTCTTTAAGAATCTGAGATAATCTGTAACACATTCTAATATTTTCAATAAATTCGATTTAGATTTGACATAAACACTCCATAATGATGTTTTATTTAAAGAAATTAAAGCTGTATGCCATCTTTGAAGCATTATTTCAGATTTGTTGAATGAGTTAAATAATTCAATCAAACATTTGAAGTAGTAGTCAAAGGCATCTGTTCTGCATACATACAATATAGAAGATAATAATGTATAGTAGTTTTTCAGTATTTCTGAATATCTACATCTTAATAATTGTGTTACATGTTCTTTTTTTATTCGAAAATTCATGTCACATACTTGGTCATTAATTATAGAATCTACACTGAATAATTTATTATAATAAATTATATTAATATGATTCATTGATTTCCAACCTGGTTCCTTAAGAAGAATATTAAGAACTTTAATACCATCGTCTTGATTTATTGCTGCATCTATTGGAGGTATATATCTATAATAAAAAAATCCGAATCTGTTAATTTTTTTATTAAAATAGTATCATCTACTATATTCAAACTAATTATATAAATAACTTCTTAAATTTATGAATACTACACCAAAGCGATATACAATGTCAACAACTTATATAAATTTTGGCTTGAATGATTACTTTTTAGCTTAGATGTGAAGCTGAGATGATGTTAATTTTACCATGTGTTTTTTTTTTGTGTCTGTTACCATTTTTTCTCAGCTCTCACCGAACGGATTTCTTTCAACGATATGTCAAAAGATCACAAATCGTAACTAGTCGAAGACAGTACCCTTAAAAATTGAAAAAAATTCCCTGGTTCTCCGTAAATGGGGGAAATCTCCAAAAAAATTACAAATTTAAAAATCGCTATTTTTCGACATTTGTTCAATTTTTTTTACTACTATAACTTATTTAAAAATCAATATATTTTTTTTGAAATGATACATGAGATAATTATCTAGCATTGTGTTATTTTTTATATAGTTGACCCTTTACCTGCTCACAGAAGTAAAATGACAACTTTTTCACAGAAAATTAACTTTTGAAAGTGTTCCCGAAATACTGACACTTTTAAAGCTTATGTAATATATTTAGATATGAAAAAAAAATTTCAGACTTTAATTTGTCTTCATGGTGAAATGACTACTGTTTGTTTTTTTTGTTAAAATTTTCGATTTTGTATTTTATTTTATTATAATATACCTTACAAAAGTTTTTGAGATAAGAAAAAATTTTAAATCATTTTATTTTTATCTCATTTATATTCAATAACTTTAATAAATAATTAATATTAATAATATAAATAATATTATTTAATAAATAAAGGACCCCATCGCTGTAATTTCCCTCGTTTGAAGAAATTTCTTATTTATGTTAAAGTTTTTTTACTATGTGATTTTTTTTTTATGGCTTTCATTTATTTTCTTAGCTATCACTTGATCATTTTTTTTTAACGATACATCAAATAATCACATATATTACCTAGTTAAAATTATTACTCTTAAAAATTTTCACTTAATCAATGAAAAATTTGCTTGGCTCACATTCTTCATATACAGAGTATTTTTTTATAATAGCCCACTCAATTACTTGCAGAATAAATATAATTTAAACATTTTTTTTGGTTATCTTTAGTTACACATTTTTCTTGAATTATTAACCATGTAATACTTTTTAATTTCATCCCTTATGCCTGGTAAGAGTGTCAACTTTGTTTTTTGTAAATGGAACCACANAAGAGTGTCAACTTTGTTTTTTGTAAATGGAACCACATATTTTGAATTTAATAAAATGTTTGAGTTTTTAATTTAATAATTAATGACATTTGGATTTTTAGTATAACTTTATTTGTTTATTAGATATAAACACTTAAAGTTTAAAATTCTTTAGTTAATATAAATATATAATAGAGAAGGGTTTTAAAATACAGGTAGCTAATTGGTTTTTTATGACATCGATATTAGCAAGGACACAGCATTGTTATTATCAATGGTAGTAAGGCACATTGTTGTGAGTTTATAAATACACTAACTGACAATACAGAAAGTTTATCTATTGATAGTAATAATTGATAATAAACAATACGTAACTGTGACTGTTATGTCATAAAAATCCAATAAGCTACCTGTATTTGTAATCCCTTCTGTATTATAGATGTATATTAATTTAAAAATTTGAAAATTTAAACGCTTATATCTAATAAACTAATAATGTTATACTAAATATTCAAATGCCATTTACTATTGAATTAAAAACTCAAACATTTTATTAAATTCAAAATATGTCTTCCTATTTAAAAAAACAAAGTTGTCATCCTTACAAGGCATAAGGGATGAACATGAAAAGTTTTAAATAGTTAATGATTCAAGAATAATGAGTAACTAAAGAAAACCAAAAAAAAAATGTTTAAATTATATATATTCTGCAAGTAATTGAGTGGGTTATGATAAAAAAATCACTCTGTAGATAATTCA